CATAAACACTAGTGAGGTCACAAAAACCCAAATAACCCACGGCGGCATACATTTCTGCTGTTTACCTAGCCTGATAAACCAGACTAGATGTGATATTAAATGTGTAATTTAGTCTGGCCCCGATGAATGTCACATCGGAAGATTGTTGATGAAAACAACCCGTTGTTTTTCAAACCATGTCTCTGCCTCTTTAACACTTAACAGTACTGATATTTTTTTTTTGTTTTAATTTCAGTTAATAGTCTTTAAACATAGTCCACTAAGCATACTTTTAACTTATCTAAAACAGTTTTCAAGGATGAAACTTGCTCTAATTTACAACACAATTTAACTCAAGTTAATTAACACTAGATTCCTTGAGTTTCCTTCTTAAATTCAGTTAAATTCTTAATACACTAAAATGGATGATAAAGACACTGCAAGTGAAATGCGAGACACAGAAGTTACTCATGAAGAAGAAGAGGAGTCTGTTCAGGATGTAGCCTTTGAAGCAAATCCTGTAACTGAAACTGAAGCGAATACAGAAACTAAAGACAAGAGAAAAAGAAAACTTACTGAAAATTAAAGAAACTTCAACGTAACTTTAACAAAACATATGAGAAATGGAAGGTTCATGCTAAAGAGGCTCAAAGGGCACTCTCCTTACTCAAGTCAACCAAAGCTCTACATGAACATCAAATTCAAGTTCATACTGCTGATCTCAAAGTGAAGGAATTCTATGAGGACATATTCGCAAACACAGTGTCCCGGACGCGGACACCCAACGTCGATTGACTCCTGTGATGCTGTTTCAAAGCAACTTATTGAATGGCTACATGTTCTCCAGGATGAAGATACAGATAGGTATTTACCCTGAGTACGAGCACTATGGGCTGACACTGGTTCAGTGTTTTCATGTAAAGAAGACCAAGTGTCCATGTTTAGCCGCTCAGCCTCTGGACGTGTTTCAAGGAGCTTAAATGTGTCCTCCACAAAGAAGCAGGAGGCAGAAGCAGAGTTTGCGGCATCTAAAGCTACCTTGGAGGCTCTAGTAGAAATTGGAACAGGAAGAAAAGGAGCTTGAAAAGCTTGAGGCTGAGAACAGGAGGCAGCTAGTACAGCAAGAAGCAGAAAATGCTGAAAGACCGAAGTCACTAGAAGAGAAGCGCAGACAGAGCGTTTGGAAGCAACTAAAAGACTGAATGCTGCAAAGGCAAAGTCTACGAACAAGATACAGGCTCAGACGAAGAAATATCAAATCTTCTTCATAACCTGTCAGGGCCTCCAACTAAAGCTAATGCCCCTCAGAAGTACAACATGCCGTCAACCCTTTCAGAAGGCTCCCCACCAAAAGCTATGAAGTCCCAAGGCCTACTTCTCAAGCTGCTCACCCCACTTTTTACGATAATAGCACGACAAGCATCGTAGCGCTATTATCATTTCATTGCATTTATGCTCTGTGTATACAGAATGACAATAAAAGTTGTATAAATCTAACATTGACCCGATGATCCACAGGACCAGGATCTACAGCAGCGACATTGGAATATCATAAGAGGGTATCTGAGTCACACACCCTGTCTACTTTTAAGGGTAGGCTTAAACCTTTTGATAAAGCTTATAGTTAGAGTGGCTCAGGTTATCCTGAGCCATCTGTATAGTTATGCTGCTATAAGCTTAGAATTCTGGAGGACATAGAGACCCTTATTTCATCATTCTGCTTCATTCTATCTCTATTCTCCCACTCTCTAGAATCTAT